AGCCCGCCTGCTTCTCTAGAGTAAGCCTGGCACCAACGTCGGCCTGCCCCGCGCCCCGCCGCGAGGCAGTAACGAGTCATAGCCCAAGGAAGAAAGACGCATGAGCGTCCGATACGCAAAAGAAGACGAGTCGGCAGAGACGCCCGCGCCCAGACGCAGTTCCAGGGCGGCGGCCTCGCCGGGCGGATCGAGCTGCGTCGGAGCGAGTGGCGGCGGAGGCAGCGTCGGCGGAGCGAGCGTCGGAGGGCGCAGCGGCGGAAGGCGCAGCGGCGGAAGGAGCAGCTGGGGCGGCACGAGCGCCGGCGGCGGCGGCGGCGGCGGCGGCGGCGGCGGTGCGTGTGACGAGAACTCGGCCGGTGCGACCAACATGCCAGCCCGCGGTGCAAAGGCGCGCGGCGCTACGGCGCGCGGCGGCAAGGAGGGCGGCGGCAAGGAGGGCGGCAAGGCGTCGAGGAAGCGTCCGGCGGCGGAGGCGGCGGATGAGGGCGGCGGGGCGGCGGGCGGCGGCAAGAAGAAGACGAAGAAGGGCGGCGGTGCGGCGGCGGAGGAGGAGGCGGTGGCGCAGGTCGCCTTCTCCCTCTCCTCTGACACCAACCTCTGGCAGACCGCCTTCTCCGCCGCGACGGAGCTCGCAAAGCTGGAGGGGAAGGCCTCGGTCAGCTCCGCCGGGCCGGCCGGGCGAGACTGCACGAGATGAGCCGAGGCGGGCGCGAGGGTAGGTCTCGATCTGCTCGGACGAGCTGCCGGGCGAGAGGGTCTCGCACCTGGTAGTGACGCAGGAGCCGCGGCGCACGCTCAAGGCGTGCCCCACCACGCCACCTCGCGCGGCTCCACGAGTCCGCTGATGGACCCCCTCCTCGGCGTGAGCAGGTGCTCCACGCCATCTCGCGCGGCATCAAGATCGTCACCGCCGAGTGGGTGCTCCGCTCTTTCGAGGCGAGGCGCTGGCTGCCGACCGAGCCCTACATCGCACTGCAGCCGTCGCCGGTGCCGGGGCGGCAGCTCGACGGCGCTCGCTTCTTCCTTGGCCCGTCCCTCGCCAAGTTCTCCGAGAAGCAGCTGCGCGACCTCGTGCACGTCGCGGGCGGCGTGCCGACGGCGCAGGCTCGCGCGCAGTACGTGGTCGGCACCAACCGCAAGCTCGAGGGCCAGGAGCGCGTGACGGAGGAGGCCATCATCAGCCAGATCCTCGGCGAGACGGACGGGCTCGAGCTGCACCTTAATTCGCCCTTAGTGAAGCACTTGATGAACTGTTAATTAGGCGAGACGGACGAGCTCGAGCGCGTGCCGCCCAGCCAGCCGCCGCCAGGCGCCGCCGCCGCCGAGACGCAGGAGGAGGGCGATGGCGAGAGCGACTCGGAGGAGTTCTAAGGCTGAGCGGGGAAAAAAAAGAGAAGCGGTTTGTGGGGAGGGATCGGAGGAGTGCCGAGGCTCAGCGGGACGGCCTCGCGTGCGGTCCGGTGCCGACAGCCCAGCACACTTCCAGGGCACGGGCATGCAGTGGGCTCGCTCTCGACTGGGGCAGCGCCGCGCAGAGGGCGGCGGCCGCCGCCGGCGCGCCCAGATCGCGCAGGCGAGGCTGTCGCAGCGGCCCCCGGGGGAGAGGCTCACGCGCGGTACGTTTGCGAGTTTGGGGAGTCATCCGGGGCGGCTGTAGGACGGCCGCGCCGAGCGCGAAGTGCCTCTGGTTCGGTGGGACTGGTTGTCTGGTCCTGTGCGTTTGCCGCGCGGGGCGTGCGGAGCGCAAATGTGGGTCTGTGTGTCGAGGCACAGCAGACCACTCTCACGCAGTCTCGACGGGTCCTCCCCGCTCAGCGTCTCGTGTCGCGCCGTTTGCGCCAGTGCTATGCGCATCGCTCTGGTTGGGGGGGGGGTAGGGGGCGGGGGGTTTCGTTTACGTTTTCTGTTGCTCGCTGCTCGGCAGCAAGACGTATTATCTCTAAAATAAACTTTTGAACAACTCCGAACTCGTGCGCGCGAACTTTCTTTTTTCTGCGCCTTGTCTGTGAATCGTGGTGTGTGTGTGTGTGTGTGTGTGTGTGTGTGTGTGTGTGTGTGTGTGTGTGTGTGTGTGTGTGTCAAGGCGTCGCTACGCGCGGTCTTCCGCGGGGGGAGCTTCGCCGACGGGTGCGGGACCGCGGCGCAGCCAGTGCCGTGGCGATGCCTCCGGCTGTTTGCGGCGGGCGGCTTGCTGCTCACGGCGATGGCGAAAAACTCGTCTCGCCACACGCCAAGGGCTTATGCTCTGGCGAGACGTGAGGCGCATGCGCCCAGGATGGGAGGGGGCATGCGTAACGACACTGCTAGAGATGCCTTTCGGGGCCCAGAGACAAAACTTCTGATGCCATGCGTGACCTAGTAGTGTCCCCAGCTATGGGCGTGTCCACGTTGGAGCCAGGTGTGGTGTGGGCGCGAGAATAGCTCCGCCGTTCATGGAGGCAACCGATGCGAGTCGACTGGTGTGTGTCGTCGTGGTTTCGTATCAAGAATACTCACTCACTGTGAATCGAGAGAGAGAGAGTTTTAGCAATACCAAACAACTCTAACACTCACACGTAATTTGGGGCCTGAGCCCTGTTCACGCGCGCGCGAGACGTGCAGACAGGGTTGCCAGGTGAGAGCGAATGGCGCGGTTCACGTTTTGTTGTGTGAATCGTGGGCGACGGCTTCTGAGGAAGCCGTCGCCCGCCTCGCCTGTCGCGTAATTCTTGTCGTACTAATAAATAAATAAATAAAACGGGCACGCCAAACGAGGGGTGGGAGAAGGACAGGGTTGATGTCGTACTTGGAGCTAGATCCCCGTTCAAAATTCTTTTTTCTCTGCTCGGGGCACTCTTGTGCAAGAGTCATCACCGGTGCGGAAGCGACCGCCCCTTCTGCATGCTCGCCGTCCTCTGCTCCAGCGCCCTCTCTTCGAGCGGCGACGCCTTCTTCAAACTCTCGACGACCCGCGCCCTGCCGGCGGCACGCCCTCTCTCGCCGCACGTCAACCTCGCCACGTCACCGCAAATCTCTGACTCCATAGACTGGGAGCAGATGGGCTTTGCGCGTGCGGTCCGCATTCGTCACACCAGCGCCGAGCCCGCCCCGGCTACACCCATCGACCTCTCGGCAGCCTGCGACTCCCAGCCGGACGGCTGCGACTGGAACGAGATGGGCGCTGCGCTGCTTCTTCGCTCCCCTCCATCTCCAAAGCGCGCCGCCGCTGTCTCCGTCGACCTTGCGCCGCGCGGCATCGGTCGAGCGGTGGCGGGCATCCTCGGGAAGCGGCGCCCTCGGCGAGACGCGGAGCGCGTCCGCGACCTCCGCTTTGCGTACGCAGTCGGAGTCGAGGAGAAGCGGCGGCTCGGGCTGTGAGGAACCCAAGTGGCGGGGCGGGATGGGTGAGGGGGGGGGGGGGGGGGGGGGTTTGAAACTTTTCGTTGGGGCCCCCCCGTCCCGAGGGGCGCCCGGAGGCCGGAGCGGCCCCTCCTGGCCGCTTGAATTGGCATGGGTGCGTGCTCGGGGCAGCAAGCCCTTGTTTTTGCACGGGGATGATGAGGCTGGATTGAGGATTGGAGGCGGACTGCTGTCTGCGGTGAGGAATGCGGACATGGGAGGCGGCTCTGACGGGGCATGACCATAGGCGGCCGCCCTGTTGCCGCGGCAATTGGAGGAGCTGCCCAAGCAGGATTGAGCATGGTCGATGGTGGAAGTGAGCATGTGGGATTGACATCATGTGCACGCGTGCTCTCCCTGTCGTGTCGAGCGAGATCCCCCGTCCTTTTGGGGTGCGTTCAGATTCTGAAGAGTTACAGGCGAGGAAGGAGTGAGAGGACGGTAGGGAGCCTCCAACAACAAAAGACGAAGAACAGACATGCACACCCGCCCGCACATCACGCCACGGGCCACGCTGCACGCGCAGCGTAATGGTTGGGTAGTAGGGCTAGAGGGTCGCTCTACACTTAGCCTCTGCAGCGAGCGAGCGCTCAACTTAGCCCCCACACGGAGCCGGGCTGGGACTTAGACGCTGTATGGTCGGGGGCCACGAACTTAGACGACATAAGGCCAACTCCGGGCAAAACCCGGGTATACCTGAAAAGCCTCCAGGTTTACCCGAAAAATACCTGGACGCGTCCCGACCAACGTATGCCGCGCACGACGCCATATCGCCTTCTCCCAGGGCCAGTGCGCTACTTGCGGCGCGCAACGCCTGCTCAAGTACGCGCACCGTACCATGTGCTGCCGCTATGCGTGCCTTAAGGCGGCTGCGGCGAAGCGGCGGGCGCGGCATGCCGATGGTGCGGACGATGCGGTTGCGATGTGTTCTGCTTCAAGATCGTGGCGGTGCTTGGCATGCACTTCTGCGATCCCAATCAGCTCATCGCAACGAAGCAGCGCAACAAGCTGGCTGCTGCCAACAAGGCCCTATGCTACCTCACGCGCGGATCGTTCAAAGAGGACCAGCACACACAGGCTTCACCGTCACGCGTTTGATTAAGCTTGAGGAGCTTCGTGTCATGTGAGAACTGTTTGGCTAGACGTCGCTCAAGAATGAAGGAGCAGCAACGAAAATCGGAAGAGGAGGATGCTGAGGCGGCGATTGCTAAGCATGAAGAGGATCCATCGCCCTCCGCAGGCGAAGAAAATTTGGGGGCTGCGCCGTATCGTTGATCACGGTGGGAGCCTCCTGGCCCCAGGCCGTGCCACGGCCGACTTAGCCGATGTAAGAGGCTCCCGCTGATCTTAGACCGCGCAAGCACTCCAGCGTGGCTAGCCACACTTAGACCCGTCCAGCCTCGAGGCTCAGAACTTAGACTACTACCCAACCAGTCGCAGCGTCGCAGCGCCCAGGCCCCTGCCTGCCGAGTGCCGTGCGCGCTGCGCGGCTGCCCGCACGGGCACGCTCCTCCGTCGCTCGCTGCTACCACGCGTGAGCTGTCTCCGCTGCCGGAGCTGCAGGTCGACGAGATCGAAGCCGGCCGTGTGCCGATGCTTCGCGTCATGAAGATGGCCAAGCGCGGCCGCGTCCCGCGAGTTGGTGGCGCCCTCGGCAGCGGGGCAGCGCCACGCCGCGCAAACTTGCGAGACCAACTTGCGACCTCTGTCCCTCGTATTCACCCCGGATTTTGCCCTATCCCGGCTCACCAGGTACCGCGAGCGGCGAGCCGCGCCAAGTTTGCTCCATTTCCGACAAGTTCATCCCGCCCGAACGCCGATCTTCGGCCGTCTGGAGGCCCAGGACGGGGCCTCGGACCGGCCAGGTGTGGATTCTCCACGGCGCTGCGGTGTATCTGCGCGCCCATGGCGCGTTCAGGGGTGCGCCTGAGGCGTGTAGACTGCGGGGCGCCGCGATAGCGCGGCGCCGACGATTGTGTCGCTCACTGTCACACCGTCGACACGGTCACAGTGTGTGTGCAGTGCGTCCACTCCGGCGACCGTGACGCCGTCGGTTCTCGCCTATACCGGCTAGTGTGGAGCTCTCAGTGTGGTTGCGTGTTTTAGTAGTGATGCTGCACTAGGCGGCCTGTTTTTAGCAAAAACCAGATACCACATCGCGTGTGGTCGTCGAAAAACCGCATGTTCGCCCGTCTGGGACCTCTTCGTACGGCTCCAAAAACCGCTCCTTAACGACGACTACGCGGCCCGGCGGTCGATCTGCGCCTTCTCAGCGGTGAAGGGGATGTGGGCGGTACGTGCGAACCGCGTGGTGCTGCGATGGCTTTTGACGAGTGCGACTCCCAGCGTCGACTCTGCGACCCCACGGAGCCTCTGCTGCTCCGGGGGGGGGGGTCTGCAGACCACCCGGCCGAACTTCAGAGTCGCGTGCTCCTCCAATACGGCTCAAACGCCCACCATGTTGTGGAGGGGCTTTATTTCCATAACCTTCGCCGATGTGCGCCGAAGGCACGGGCAATGTCCGCGACGTAGGTGTTGAGCGTGTGTCGGCATGGCCAACCAGCCGGGTGCGCGGATGAGTACGACGAAGGCGACGACGCTTTCGACGCGCTCTTCGACGGGGGCTCGGGGTACGGGTGGGATTCCTCTTCGGGGGGCGGCGCCTTCTTCTAGGCGCCCTTGACCCAACATAGAGAGGGCGTTGTGGGCCTAGGCCCTAGCTTTTGGTGAAATACAAAAATGCCATTCTCCGTCGACCAAGCCAAGCCCCGGGTCAAGAGAAGGCGCCGATCCCCGGGTCACCGACCGAACAAAACAACATCCGACCGACGCCACCTGGACGCCACCTCCTTCATCCTAAGCTTCAGCTCCCCCAGCTCCTGCTCCGCTTCGTTCAAGCACGGCCGGTGAAGGGCATTGGAGCGGCGCTTCGGCCGCGGACTTGGCATGCCGGCCCGCGCCTCCTCCTCGTCGGGCTCCACGAGCCGCTTGTGAGGCGGCTCGCGCCGCCGGCAGCAGCAGCGGTAGAAGCAGAGCGCCAGGAAGAGCCACCCGGCTACTCCCAGCGCCAACTTCAGCGGGGAACTGGCGAGGATGGCTCGGCCAAGTTTAGTTTTAGCGAGATCGCGAAGGAGAGGGGGGAGAGCACTCGGAGTGGATGTCCGGTTCCGGTCGTCCAAGTTGAGCTTTAGCGAGTCGCCGAGGGGGCGCAGGCTCCACTCGCGCACCGCGCTCCCGTGTTCGGCGACCCTCTGGGGATTAGCGATTAGCGCGCCCAGCTCCTTCTCCAGCTCCTTGACGACGGGCGCCACGGTCTCGTACCCCGTCCGCACTGCCTCGTCGAGCTTCTCGACGATGTCGGCGTAGAAGGATGGGGGTGGGGCGAGCGGCGGCCTTCAGCCGCAGCCGCCGTAGGACCGAGCTACGGCAGGAATGACCTAGGCTAATGTTTCTGCTACGGGCGAACGCTTCAGGGGCTGTTGAACTATTTCGCATAGTCAT